ATTTGTTTGAAGAGCTTGACAGTTCATCAATATTATGCTTATTTTATGCCACCTTAATGAGGTAGTAATGATTTAGGACGAGGGAAAGTTACGTGAGGAATATCCATGGCTGCCACCTTCTGACAGTTATATGGGTAAGTATACACGTGCTGCAGTTACTTGTGATCATGGATTGTGCAGTGAAATTGGCAGGTAATTATGTTTAACATTTAGTGATAAAAATAGTCTAAAATTTTTTGGAGAAAATTTGGGAGCAAACTTTTAACTTCAAAATACAGCTATAAATTAAAAAAAAAAGGAATTCAAAGATTAGTTGTTGGCATTTAATAAATAAAAGAGGCATTATTTCAGAGGACACAATGCTCCTTTCATTTATTTCTTAAATAATGAATTTGTCTTTTGCATTATCATTATCCTATAGACCGATTGATAATTGAAGACTCCTAAAAATGTGTTTAGGAACATTCTGATAAGAGGTGGTAATGCAGTCGATGCATCCATCGCTTCAATGTTCTGTCTCGGTGTCACAAACCCTCAAAGTAGTGGTATCGGTGGTGGCTTCATTATGACATTATATAATAGGTATTGTTAAAAATGTTACTAACATATTGCATTAATCAAACATTTCCAAATTGTTATTAAATTAGCTGAAATAATAAAAAGCTTGTNTGCAATAATGATTTATTTGAACTAATTTTAGGAGGAATCATTAAGAACTTACATTGAGAAATTTTTAATGAACGACAATTCAAGAATCATAATAATTTACAATCAAATATTAAAATTAATTAAAAACAGCTAAGTTTTTAAAAAAGAACAGAAAGAAGAGAATTTTCAGGACTGAAAAGAAATGCACTGTAATTGATGCTCGAGAAACAGCGCCTGAGAAAGCCCATCGTGATATGTTCATCAATGATGAATTCGGTTCCAAACATGGTAAATTTATGACAAAATATTTCCAAAAAGATGCTGGAATATTAATACATTTGTGCCACTCTGTTGCTGTACCGCCAATGACAATTTTAGGTTTTCGCGCTATAGCAACACCAGGAGAAATTGCCGGATATTGGCTCGCATTCAAGCGTTTTGGAAGTGGACAGGTGTCGTGGCATGATTTGATAAAACCATCGATTGATCTGTGCCGCTATGGAGTACCCGTGTCCAAATATCTCGGATATGTCCTTGGTGTAAAAGAGAAACATTTCAGAACATTGCCTTCTATGACGTGAGTATTTCATAATTCTCTCCTTTGAATGGCAAAATTATTATGCATCAAATGTATCAAATCTGTATCATGAATATTTTTTTCATACAGAAGTTGGATTAACAATGCTACCAATAAAGTGTTTGTCGCCGGAGATATCATTAAACGACCGGAATTGGGTAACACATTAGAAAGGCTTGCACTTAGTTCCGATCCGATGGAGCTTTTCTATCATGGAGAGATCGCCAAAACATTAGTCAAGGAAATCCAAGATAATGGTTGGTTCGTTGAATTTTTTTTTTTTTTACTTTTAAGAGTGAATTAACTGAAAACAGAAACAATATGCTGGCGAAAATAGACTTTTAGAATTAGCTAACTAAGTTAGGCTTTATTAAACTGCTTTGACAGAATTGTTTGTTAGTGTTGAATTAACACGACGTAATATTAATATCATTTATGGAATTGATTTAGGCGGAATTATCACAATGAATGATTTTGCACAATTCAAGCCAACAGTACACGAGCAACCATTGGTCAATGATCACTTCTCGGGTGATCTAGCAATGTGCGGTCCACCACCTCCTTCCTCATTCGCAGCCACTCAGCTAATTATATCTCTCATGGCTCGTCAGTTTTTTTATTCAAATTTTTTGCAAGTTTGTCAACTTCAATAGCAGTTCAGATTAAATAACGAGCATTTCAAGTTTCATGAATTGTGTTGAAAACTGCAGGATTTTATGGACCCAAAACAAGCAAAGAGGTGTTAAGGCGTGATCCACTCTTCTATCACAGATTTCTCGAGGCGCAAAAGTTTGCCTATGCACAACGGACTCTCATGGGTTAGTGTGTTGTATTTTTGTAACAATTCTTAGAAGTTCATCGTTGTCAGCATATTCTAAATTGCATATGCGGAAATACTAAATAGCCATTTATCATTATACGAAGTATTCGTCGAATCAATCCGTAATGCTTAAAATAAAATTTGGATGGAAGTGAAAATTGAAGTTTGGGATACTTCCTATAGTTGTTCTATATTCTTCTTCTATTATTAGGTGACGAAGCTTTCGTGAAAGAAGCTAAAGAGCTTGCCAACAATATGACAACAAAGGAATACACAGACTGGGTGTTCTCGAGAATGCGTAATACAACACAACCAACAGAATACTACGGTAAAACTCTGAAGCAGGTAAGAATAGATTAGATTGAATACGATCAAAAATGATGAATTAAATTTAGGAAAACAAAATGTTTCTACCATTTATTGCCTCACCTCTTTGGCTAAACCATTTGTTTACTGTAATGCTACAAAGCGCTATTTTGCATGGACGAGATTTTGAATCAATGAAATATTTATCAAAATCATTTCTTCTTCAATAAGGCAACTAAAAATTCTCATGAAAGATTGAAATTGCCTCCATCAGTCTTTTTTCGTCTCTGTAGTTGAACTAGTCTTTTTATTATTTCTTTTCCAAAAAAAGTTTTAGAGTAAATTTTTACCAATATTCCTCTACAATAAAATAAACTCTGAAAAAAAAAAATAAAAGTTTCAGTTGAATGATCATGGTACATCGCATGTTTCTGTGTTAGATTCTATGGGTAACGGAGTATCTAGTACGAGTACTGTTAATCGATGGTAAGTATTACTTCAAGTACAGATGGATCAAGTGGTTATGTTATATGATTGCTCAAATTATTTTAAATTATATCACTCCTTTTTGTAAATCATATCAATAGCAACAAAAGTTGCAGGTTTGGCGCAGTGGTGCAATCTGTCAAATTAGGCATTGTATTTAATGATGAAATGGATGACTTCTCCACTCCGGGTAATAATATCTTCATCTATTTGTTATAAAAATTAAAATCGTATCTGTTCTAATTTTAAAATCGTATCATACATGATGCTTTTATGATAGTTTATACTTGTAAATTTCAAGCATAGTAAAAAGATAGTGCCACATACAGTAAATGGGTCGCATGATGACTATATTATCATAATGTACTTGAAGTAGCCAGATCAAAGCACACTCAAAGCCACTAGTTGACTTTAATTAAATTATCAATAGTGACTTCACATCAAAAAATAATTTCCATAAAATTATTTTTGAGGCTATATGTATAATAGCTTTACAATATGAGCATTATAGCTTAATAATGTGAGCACAATTCAAAAAGGAAAAAAATCAAATAATTCTGTTAATAATTAATAATTTTCATGCATAATTTGCAGGCATGGCAAATGGTTTTGGATTTGCGCCATCCGAAAGCAATTTCATTGAACCCAATAAGAAACCAATGAGTAGTATGAGTCCAATGATCGTTTATAATACTAAAACTGGAAAAGTTAGCATTTCCTCATTTTTGGCTACCAATTCTTGACAATACGAGCAAAATGTTTCTAAAATTTTAGATTGTAATGGTAGCAGGAGCATCCGGTGGTTCGAAAATAATTTCCTCTTTGGCTAAGCCTATTGTTCGGGTATTATTTTTCAATGAAACTATAAAAGAGGCTATTGATGCTCCAACATTGCACAATCAATTTACACCAGATATCACACAGTTTGAACATGCTGTGCCGAAGGTTTCTTATCATCCTATCACTCTTTTTAAACTAAGCTAAATAAAAATGATCGGATTTACGAGTAAGTGATTAGTGATTTCATGGTGTCATTTTTCAATCATTTAAGGAGTTGATAAATGATCTGACGCAGATTTTTGGACAAAAGTTCAGGGAAACGACTGGTTTCGAAGGCATAGCTCAAGGGATTGTGGTAGGTGAGGATGGGGTCATCTACGTGAACGGAGACTACAGACGCAAAAGTGATATGCATCCCGGAGGATATTAGAAATCTTCCAATAGACACAAATATCCTAAATGTTCAGTATTGAAATGAATTCATGTTCCAGTATTCCTCCTCCATTCTAGCTTGTACTATTTTTGTTAAAATTCATTATGGTATTGAAGATGCTTCTAGTAAACAATAACACACTCGAATCAATGATAAAGTTTAAGAAGAAAAAAATTTTGAGTAAATGAAGTAAAAAAAAAAGATTTCGAATCTGATTTCGGCTCATATTTCTCCGAAATTTTATTATCATTTTATGGAGTTTTATTTTCGATGCTCCATAAAAAAATCTCTTGCGTTCAGTATTTTTCATCCCATCATTTGCTTGGCTCATAATTTATAAAGAAGATTAAAAATGTGTAAAATATGATGCGCGATTTAAAAAATAAATAAAAATTTTCTTTTTTTTAAGCTGAACAATATTGTCTCGATCTAAGCAATAATTAACTGACATTCTTGCTCATCAAATGATATCATTAATTCTTGCCACCATTAATAATCAAAATTATCTCATTGTACAAAACAAATACATCTATCTGTAGCTGAATGGTTAATTTTTGACTATAAAAAATAAGATTATCAGTAATTAACAGGAATACATTGAGCAATGATATTTTTATCAAAATAGATTAATATTGAAAAGATAAGAAGTTAGATAATATTTTCAATGTTTTTGTAATTTTACTAACAGATATCACAGGCCAACACAACAATATCATTAACGATAAATTCGAACTCTCTTATCAATTCAATTACTAACATTATTGAAGGAAATACGAAAGGAACGGATACAGTAATTTAAATCTCATTTGGACTATTTTTTTCTACTGAATCAATATATCTTTTTGATTCATCTGCAACTAAAAATAAACATATTGATTGCAGAACAAAAATAAAGATTGAAATGGCAACTATTTGTGTGTTTGTTATTGAATCCTCATATCTTTTAAAATCAATTCTCATACAACCATCACAAGTATTATACAATATGTAAATAATCAGTATTTTGATCAAGGATGGTAATACAGTGTTAGAAGGAAACTTGCCTGGATTCTCACTTTATCTCATCAGACGAAGTCATTAAAACAGATTCGAACTATACAGATCATACACATTATCACTTCACATTATCATCATCTACTATTATATAATCAGCAGGTTTCTCAGATCAAGCTATCGCAGCACAGATATTGTGCATTGGATCTGATCAGCATTGATTTATTTCTGATATTCGCTGTTATAATCATGTGAATCACTTTTGTGAACATCAATGAAATAACTTCGAGTTGGAATAGAACAAATGATTTGTTCTTTATTTCTGAAATACCTACAAAATCGAGACAAAATCCAACACAAAACAATCAGTTATAAATGGTAGCGCTCGTTAGCTAAATGCCAAATTATACTGTGTGTAAGTAAACAGAAATTTCAAGAATTAAAATCTAAGCTGAAATCTTAAATATTACTAAACGAGTATTTCCGATCAATTTCTAGAAAAGAATAAAGTGGTCAAAGCATTTCTTAAAATCCCGTGAAAATATGTCCACAAATGGCAAAATATCTTTTCAAATCCCTTAACAGAATATAAAACATTCCTTAGTAGGATTAATGGGTTCTCCGAATTGAATACTATTCCAAAAGAAATTTATTTTCAAAGGATACATATATTTGATTATTGATCCCCTCGTCAGCGGTAAATCATTTGAACAAATGCGCTCAATTCAGGTTTATTATTTCCTGTTACTGGATCAGTTCGGAACTATATGAGAAAATTGATGAAATTTATTTCGAACTGATTACTTTTTTTATTGATTTTTTATTCTTTTCAATGATTTTTTATTCTTTTCTTGTTGACTCTTGTTTTTACAGCATCATTTCAAAAAATAATATAGGCAATGATAGAACAGTTGATTATGATATGATAGTAATAAACAAAAATATAACTACGAGCCACCGTTGACATCACATTTCTAACTTCTGATAGGTTACTGGTCACTGATATATTTATGATCTTATCTGAGGGAAGCCCAATAGCTAGCAACAGCAATAACTGATAAAAAACCTCCATTTAACAATTTAAGTTTTACATGAAGAGTAGTATAAATTCAATAAAAGATTTATATGGATTATTATTCAGTATGAAAGATATCAAGCAGCCATAATACTGATTAAATTATGAAATTTGTAACTCAGTTATATTAAATTAAATTCATGATAAGAATTGAATTGCCAAATATAATAAAGTGCATAACACTTCATCGTTCAGTCAAAAAACTTTCATTTAACAGCATCTCAATCATTAATCGGTACTTCATATTTGTATGCTGAAAAATGTCATCAAATGGATAAGTTTGTAAGATTACTTATGAAAATAAAAAGAAATGATTAATTTCCGTTAATTTGAATTACTTATTTGCTGGCATAAGCTCTTTTCAATCATTTAATGAAATAACATTCATTAAGCTAGTAGTATGTCCTATAGAAACAACAAGAATAGCTTACACAATCGAACATATCTGATACATTTCTTCCCTTCCAACTCAAATCCAACAGCTGTACATAACAATGGCATATCTTCATCTTTTACACCTTGTGCCAGCTTAATTAATAAAACATTATTATTACTTATAATTCTTGTTCCCATTCACTATTACCTATTTATGGTACTGTTTGAGAAGGAGGAGGATCGTATACCATGTCGAGAATGCACTGTCCTGAATCTGAATCGAATTTCCACGGTGCTTCACAGCAAAGTGGTGCTGTGAATAATCCTGAAAAAAATCATCTATCATAGAAGAATTTGCCACTTTACTGTTAATGAATTCTCATTTGTTAACGATGATTAAATGTGAGAAGTTGTAATGTTTGATCGTTGATGTGAACTTTTGCCTAAAATAGGAATAAATACCAATAATCACTGACACTATTTTAGGGTCAAGTTAACTGGACAGCTCAGCTAACCTCTCGCAGCTTTTTGTTCTACATTTGCTGGTATGGATAGCTGCGCGCATAACAACATTTGCAAAAGAAATGACAAAAAGACCGTGCGATGCATCTTTCTGGCAGTGCAATTGTCGCATGTTCTTTTTACAAATCAATAAAACAACAATGAATACGTGAAATTTGCATAATTGATAGGAATGAAAACTGATTAAATTTGATTCTTTGGGATCTAAGAAACAATTAATAACAATAGAATAAATTCTAAATTACATTTTCAGATGGTTGGGATTGTTTCATAGTCTCATATAATTCAAACACAAATTATGCATTATTTGTCTAATTATAATCGTCATTTCGACATGACATGAATCAGTGGATGGATAGATGAACTATAATTGTGATGGACGTTTGTCAGTTTCTTAACCCTCTTACAAATTATTAGCTAAAAGGCTAGAAAGATAAAAATGATATTCATTCAACATATCAGTAAATGATCATTCCACCACCTGATTAATTATCCCTTTTCTTTTCCAAATTAGCTTCGCCGACTTCTTGTTGCTTCAATAATCATTGATAGGGATGCTTCGGGTGAATTTGACCTTGTGCATTTTATCTGAGATACCATTACCAACCTCTTCTTATCGACTATAATTTCTGATTGCCTTTAATGATTTCGATTACTGTAAGAAAGAGGGATGGGAAAGGCTTTCTTCCCTTTTAAGTCTTACTGACCCAATTATCAGCATACTTTTTTATCCGATAAGATACTATTTGTTTCCTACCCACTCTCTCACCTGATTTGCTTACCATTCTCTCTGTTTCAAACACTCTTTTTTTTCATTAATTCAGATCGATCCTCTAAACCTTGTCCTATTTGCCCACTTTTCCCCCACCTAATCAGCGAACCCTATTCTTTTCTTTATTCCCGGGATACTTTGGACATCTTTATTTAGGCGTATTGCTCATCCTATTTATATCAACAATCAAATTTACTTTCACTAATTTTAAATTTCTATAAAATATGCATCCACCGATTCGTTTCATTTTTTTTTCCAATCATAAAATTTCATGAAAATATCCACCATCTGAAAATTTGTTCTTTTTAATTTTATTGATTTTCTAATGTGAGAAAGCAACAAAGTCGCCTTTGTGGAAAGGAGAAAGGATAGAGATTACTGTGCTCAACGAGAAGATACCGTAATAGCTTACGGTCAGTGTCCGAATTTAAAAGATATGATATTTCCTGAGGAAAGAAAACTCAGAGATTTCTGTTCTTTTATTTGATGACTCACATTAAATATGCATGTATTTAAATATATATATTTCTCTTTCGGTATACTCCAGATTTTTTTTTCAATTTCACTGTTAAAGCTGGTGAGAATGAAAACATTCTATAACTTTATTAAAACTTTTTTCCATTCTCTGGGTACTAATCAATTAATGACATCTCAAATACATTTATATGTATGAATTATTCCAATTTACGTAGAATTTAGAGTTTTTTTTTGAACTCATAAAAACAAAAATTAGGTGACACCCAATAACACATGTCACGCTCATCCAATAACAAATATCTCGCTCAATTATTTGTCAAATCCATTGAATAAATCAATTAAATTCCATAGTTCCAAACTTGAAAAAAAATTTCATCGATGTGACAAAATACCAGAAAATTTATTGCTCCTTTTATTGTCATTAATAGAGATGCAGATGAGATGAAGTGGGACGTATTAGTCCCACTTCATAAGTTTTGAGGAAGAAAATTGTACCTGAAATTTGAAATAAGGGAAAAAATGTATAAACCGCTTTTGTTAAGCCTGAACTAGAGGATAGATGGATTTAAATGGAAATATTTGTTAAGTAATATTGTGATCAATTAAAATGATTTATATCGTTTTAAAATTCTCAAAATAATTAGGAATAAACAGATTTCAAACATTTAAATTACCAACGATCTTTTCAAGAGTTTCTGTCGTTCATTTTTATCAATGACAGCAAAATTCATAGAATCCTCATTGTTGTACTTTTCTCATTTATACAAGTTTTTATTCATTTTGGAGGTTATGAAGAAGGTCGATATGGGTACGATCAACGGAAGAATGGAGGAATGAAGAGGGTTATTGACTTGAGAAGTCGATAAGGAAAGAGTGAAGTGAATGCTGGCGCAAACTGTTACTTCCTTCATTTTGATCATTTTCACTAAAATATTTGCGTGTGACGACATGACACTGATGCTATTACTACCCAATGACCTAAATTAAACTTAACAATTGACATGATAGATTCAATTACCACATCCCTATACAAACACACACACATATACACACTCATATACACACATACATACACACACACACACACATATTTTCACAATAGTGAAATATGCAAATATAGAAAGATTGGATAAATTGCGACCAAAAAAAAAAATTGAAAATGTTGAAGGAATATGCTCATGGATGGATTCGGTGAGATGTAAAGGAGCGGTGTTGAATAGTACAAGGCAGTTGTGCCATTACTTTCTGTGTCACTGAAAGGATATAACAATTTCAGATTTTCATGCATTCTTACTTTTATAAATATCATTTACTCGGATAATAATAGTTTATCCAAACAAAGAAAATTATAAAAACTGTCAATTACTAATAGTAATTCACTTTTATAGTTATTGCATAATGTATTAATTAACGCCAAGTGAAAATGAAATGTTCGATTGGAGAATTTATGTTTGAAATTCTTAATTCTTACTTGATTCAATGAGTTTTTATATTTCATGCTTAAATAGCTAGAATAGATCTCTCTTTGCTTCATCGCAAATTTCTTTTATCTTTTGTTTCA